GTGAAGGTAATGACATACCCCTCTTTCTTGATTTGGCACTTTAATCAGAGGCGAACAAAATGACACAACTAGCATAGTCACTTGCTAAACTCTTTAGAACACTTTTGTTTCAGTTCTCTGAAATCTTCAATTTGTTCAAGCCTCGTAGACTTTCCTAGTCAAGGTAGTGCAAAAATATCGGTCTAAAAATGAGATTTCTGAGTGTTCGTGTGAGTTTGACTATAACAGGTGTTCCTTAACTCCCTTAGTCCTATTCACCGAAACTCCTTATTTAGTAAATTTGATTTGATTTGCCATTGTTTGGCTAGCTGAATTCAGCTTTATTATACATATATTTTATAATTGCCTTTGTTCGGCTAGCTGAATTATTCATGTCGTCACAAAGTCTTCGACTTGACAACCACAGTGGAGCATACACCGGATTGCCAAGTACCCGATCAATGTCATGGTTTGAATGTAATCTATTCATAAAGCCAGGGTTTTCGAGTTTCCTCTATAACCAATTGCTTTAGCGGAATAGCTCAACTTTATTGTATAAATATATGTTTTTGTTTGTTTGTTTACGGATTCCATTTCTTAAGCTCGCTGAGGAGAACCTGTTATAGTCTCGGTGTTTGTTGAAGGTCAGAAAATCTCATCGTTAGAGTTCAATTCCCAAGCAACTGACCTAAACTAGATTCATCTACTTGACCGTTCCATCTGAGAAGGTTATGATCATCATTGAACGTCATAAACAGAAATAATAACCAATTAGTTTTGCAATCTCATGTGCTAGTTGCCCCATTTTATCCGCTCCTAACACATACCTGAATGCCAAACCCCTTGATTGACTCTTTATGTGAACAGAAAACTAGCTCGGTCCCTGCAAGAAAATGGTATGTATTCTGGTGTACCTCTGGATTAGGATCAAGGGGTCACTGTTTTGCAGGGTTCAATCTTGTCATTTGTCAAAGATTTACAACCTCAATTATTAAAAAGCTTTTAATTAAAATGATATTCAAAGAATTCAAGATTAAAATTTGCTCATTGTCATCATTTTTTTTTTAAAAGGAAGTATTTTATTTACAATGTTCGGACGTCAAGTGACTTACAAAAATTTAAACATAAGAAGAACAAAAGAAAAACAAATTCAAACAAGATGTCATGCATGAGAATGCAACAAAATCTCCTGATGGATGCCCCGACCGACTTCCGATCAGAATGCCCCATTACACATTGAACGTTAATGTCCCTGAATCGATCAGATCTTGGACCTTGCACTTTAATGCCCTACAATTCTCAGTGGTATGCCCTGAGATCCCAATGTGATAGCTGCATATGGCATTAATCATGGCCTTCAGGATATGGGTCAGTTCTTGGTTTGGATTGAACTGGAATCACCAGGTTGTTCTCAATTAGAGCTGGGAGCAATTCCTCATATGTCATCGGAATTGGATTGATGCATGTCTTTTTACGAAAAACATTATGAGACACGGCCCCCAGATTAGTTAAATCCACTAGACTGACCTCAGCTCTTTCCTCAATGTCAGTATGGCTAGTACCACATATCTGACCATTATTAATAGCTCTTTCAATCATTTCTCCACACATGACAATGTCAGAGAAACTCTTAGTGGCAACCCCTATCATGTAGTCGATATAAGGAGACTGTAATGTATCTTGAATATAGTGATGAACTCTCTTTCAGTCATTGGTGGATGCACTTGAGATGCAATATCCCTCCATCGTTGTGCGTACTGTCGAAAACTCTCATAATTCTTCATCCCCATATTCTGAAGCATTGTTCGATCGGGGGCCATATCAATCATGTGCTTGTATTGGCCCAGAAAAGCACTAGCCAAATCCCTCCAGGAGCGGACTTGAGAACGACTCAGTTGGAGGTACCACCTTGAAGCAGGTCCAATCAAACTGTCTTGAAAGCAATGGATCAACATCTGATCATTGTTAGTGTATCCAGTCATTCTTCGAATAAACATCGTGAGGTGGGCATTGGGGCAACTGGTTCCCTGTACTTTTCAAACTCGGGCATCTTGAATTTGGGCGGGAGCACCAGGTCAGGAACTAGTACTAGTTCTGTTGCATCCATCCCGTTGTGAGAGTTTTGTCCTCTCATTCCATGGAATGTCTCTGCACCACTGTTTCAAATTATCTGGGATCTCGTTCTTGGCTCTTCTCGTCGCTAGGTGACTAGAAATCCTGTTGGGCGAGATAATGGTTGCGAACTAGCCTGTGCTTTCACACATTTAACTGTTTCACGGGTTAAAGAAATCTTTTCTTTGCCTTTTCTTGGTTGAGCTCAGCCATCTTTGCTACCATTTGGTCAACTAAGTCTTTTTGGTTTTGTAAGATACAATCCACGGTGGTCTTTTGCATCTGCTCCATTTTAACCTCCCACTCAACTTGCATCTTTTGCAAAACTCTCGTTCAGCTCTTTCTTTAATTCCTCAATTTTGCATCCATTCTCAGTACTGTGTGAATGCAATTGCACAGTTAGAAGTGCTTCCTCAAAGTTTCCAGCAAGTATAATTAATGCATGTAAACATGCTTAAATGAATGTTATGCAAAATGCAACGATGCAAATGCAAATGCAGAAATGTGGATCCCAACAATGAATATTTTAGAACAATTTCACCAGAAATAAAAGTTTTCACATTACAAGACAGTCCACTTTACAGACTTGACTTCTCTTAGATGTTGAATCTGAAATGGGTCGCTGCTTCATCTGGGAGCTTCATCCTTGAAAATGATTCCCCTCAAGCGTTTTGTAAACAGACTCTTTAACGCCCGGCGATGCTGAAGTCAGTGCATCACTCATCGATGAATAACGTCGGAACGATCGTAAATAATAATCTACTGCTGGATCAATCCCCAGACTTCAGCCTTAAAGGTTGCACGATCTTCGAGCTCACTGCTTTGTCTCGGATCTTTGTATTTGGAACTGATGCCCCTAAAGCATTCTGTAACCTAACTCTGTTAATGCCCCAGTGGTGCGGAAGTTAGTGTATCGCTCCTTGATGTGTAGCGATGACATGATTGTAAATAAGAATCTACTGTTGGATACTTCTAGGATCAATGGATCACCATTCCAGTCTCGAATTATGGACGATCTTCGAGCAAATCTCATTTTGTGTTCTGAGCTTCTTTTTAGCCTTCGGTGCATGTCTGTGTACGTGACTGCTTGATTGAAAACTTTTATCTCTTCTTGTGAAGATTTTCTCATGGATATCCCCTTGCGGATCAACACTTCCCGCATTATGTCATGAAGATGCAATGTAATGCAAAGAAAGATGAAAAATGACACAAACAAATGAGAAAAAAAATGAGTTAGTAACACAGACAAAATAGAGAAATGAGTTAGTGCAAGCAAGATAATCAATATAGTTAAAATATGTTATCTACAGAAATATAACACCTACCGTCATGATATCTACCGAACATGCTTTCAATAGATAACAATCCTACCCGGACATGCTTTCTACCCACAATTATCTATTTCAAGAAATTAGTCCTAACGCATGATATCTAGTTCGCATGCTTTTATTCGAAAAGAAAATAAATTCTACGAATTAGCAAAATATAAGGATTTAGAAACGCTCCTCCTTGGTGTACACTTAGTTTGGGTACCTACTGACGGACATAGGTTCGATATAGCTATACCTAGGGTGATCGTTCGACGGCTCACTATATGCTTGGTTTCGGCTCTAACGGAAAAAAGGGACTCGAATTGTCCTTGATGTCGGTGCCCCCTTGGGCTGCCAAACCCTCGATCCTCACCCATTACAGGTTTCAAGCGGAACGAGTTCAATTCGAGGGGATTCACTACCTTATACCCATGCGAGGAATAAATTCCTACGAAGGTATAAGGTATGTATCCCATGGGTTATTTGCTAAAACTCATACGAAGAATAAATCCTTACGAGAGTAAAGCAATCACCCCGACTAATTTGGATCGAAGCTCGTGTCTAGAGCTTATGTTATGCAAATGAGAGTGATGTGTGCGAGGAGGAACATACCTACCTTCGACCCAAAAGGAAAACAAAACAAGGAAAAATGATAAAATCCTGACAAAGCTGAAAGCCAAAAATAAAATGTTAGTACGAAAAAAACGAAGCAATTAAAAATTTCAATAAACGGATCATAAATTAACTAAAACTAAAAATCATAATTTCCACCAAGACGACAATGTGTAAGCGACATACAGCTTGACTCTCTAAAAAAAAGCTCCCCAGCAGAGTCGCCAAGCTGTCATAACCATTTTTTTTGTAAAACAATTAAATATTATTTTTAAAACAATTATGACTTTAATTGGAAAAATGAGTGATTTTGAATTGATTTGAATTAAATTAAAAATGGAGTCGCCATCAACCTTTGGGTTAGGTAGGTCGAATACCTAAAAACGTCTTTTAAAACAATTTTAAGAAAAATCATTTTTAGACAAGATTCGGTCTGCGTTACCAAAGATTCATTTAAATGGATTCGGGAGTCGGTTTACGTGCGAGGAAGGGTAAGCACCCCCGCAACGCCCAAAATTGGTACTGTGTCGCTTACAGATCATTGTAAATGGTGGAATTTATGAGTCGAATATAAAGTTAAAACGTGATCTATTTATCGAACGTTGATTAATTTGCTTCGAATTAAATAATTAGAGAAAATTCCTTAACTCGAAAAGAAATCTCGAAATTAGCAATCCTCCATCGGGAAAGCTAACTCGACTATTTCTCATCCATAAAAGAATATTCCCTCGTCGATAAAATACGAGTCAAATGTAAAAATGAATATTGACAGTACGAAAAATAAAATACATAACTTGCATTGATCAATATAAAATAAAAATGAACAAACTAAGATTGATTTATTTCAAGTTCCATTTGTAGACACCAATTTTTGTCCTGGTTATAAATATTATATTATAATTATTACTATTATATTATTATTATATTATTATTATTATAACAATTATATTATAATAATTATTAGTATTATTAATATCAGGTATGTTCTTGCAGGTTGTAAAACAAGCCCATGCTTCTCACGTGCTGCTGTCACTCACCGAACAAGACCCATACTTTAGCCAATAATGCCATCTTCAGAATATCACGTGGAATCTGCACAAATCAACAAAATCATCAAGGAATCAAAATCAAACAAATCCAACATAATCCCTAAAATTTCGGGATGAATTCACCTACACTTTACCTGCTCCAACCAAAGTCTCACCAAACAGAAAGAAATTGGCATGCAATGACAAAGGAGGGGGTGGAGAAGAACAATAGAAAATCACCAAATAAGAGGAGGCTCTGGAACAAAAAAAAAAGAAAAAAAAGAAGAAAAGGGGGGTAATGAGGGTACTTTGAAAACCCAAAGAAACTACTTGTAATTCTCGGTTCTCTTCGAAAGCAATAACAGCTTATTAAGGTAATATGTATATTCATTTTCCTATGGTTTTAGTACTGTGTGTGTGGGATTCATTTCAAAGCAAATAAAAAACAGAGAATGAAAAATAAGATTTTAGTTTCAATATACAGTTTTTCGTAGCAATACCAACATTGAATCAATTGTTATTTCCATAGAACCAAGCAAGAAATGTAAGCAGAATTAGTTCTTTCTCGCTGTTACTTATCTAAGACATAAATCATACCAAAACGAGAGATTTCAAGTTGTTTTTATTTTCTACTTACGTTTTTTAGTTTCTAAAGGTACATGCTTTCGATTGAAAGTAAATAGTATAGAAGGAAAGTGGTAGCTTTACCTTGGCCGAACATCGGGAGTTATTCGGTCGAGAAGGCGAGAAGGAGGAGGGTCGTTTTGAGGGTAGATAGGTTCAGTTTAGGTGGTGAGAAAATCGGTTACCTCTGGTGGTGGTCGACGTGAGCGTAACGCCGATGTACGGTGGGAAAAGGAAGTTGTGGTGAGAGTTCGAAATCGGGGTTTTAAGGAAAGAAATAGGAGATTCGAGTTGGTTTAGGGAAGGGATTTAGTTTACCATGTCGATTTTAATGGTGAGCCACTTTGAAGAAGGTAGCCGACTGGTCGGGCCTTTGTGGATCTTCAAACGATGAAAACAGGGCGCTGTTAAGGTTTCTGCCGTGGAGTTTGAATGGAGAGAGGGTTCCAATGGTGCCGTGAAAGGGGAAGCAGAGAGTTGGGGAAATGAAAAGAGAGATTGCGGCACTAAGGGATTTAAACAAAGGAAAATTAGGGTTTAAATTTTACAATATATTATATATCAATTCGCTAAAATGGAACCGTTCATCAACAGTAAAGAATATTTGTTTTAGCGCTTGGAGTTATTTAGGTATGTACCCGCCAAGTTTTGTTTTAATGCGTTTCAGTCCATGTCTCTTTATTTTAATACTTTTGATTCTGCAATAAAGTTTTACGCTTGTTATGTTTTAGTCCTTCATGACATTATTGTAAATACATATATACGTGTGCTTCATGATCATTAAAAGGGTTTTCCTTAATTATTCTACGATGTAGTGTTAATGATGTCTAATTTCTATTGTCTTTAAAGTTACTCTGGTGTTTATTTTCTAGGTTACATTCAAATGTTGTTAGTATGCTCGTGGTATGCATTCATGCATTTAGTTGTAATTGTTTGCATTAATGTCATCTAGTACGATTTGCATGATATCCTCACGTGCATAACTTCACGTATTACATAATTAAACTAAGGGTAATATTCTTTTAGTTTAAACGTTTAAGTGGGTTGTCTTAACTGATTAGATATCCGCTTTTAACGATTTTAAATTAAAAGTGTATCCCTCTAGTAACACCTAAAAAAAATGATTTGTCACTTTAAAATTTGGGAATGGAAGAAAAAGAAATGTTCGACTATTAAATTATCGAGAAAAGGTTGTATAACTATTTAAGATTTGGTCTCGACATTTTTAAATATTCGAACATCTTTATCTTTCTAAAGGCTGGGTAATTTTAATTTAATTGTTTTGGTAATTTTGAATATTGAAAAAAATATTGTGTTGTTTTGTCGGGGATCATAAACCAAATTAAACTCGAATTTGTAAATTTCATTGCAAAGACATTAATTAATCGATCAGGTACCGATTTAGGGCGTTGTGGGGGTGCTAATCCTTCCCCAAGCGTAACCGACTCCCGAACTCGAATTTGGTAATGCAGACCTAAATTTGTTGTTTTAATTAAAATTAATTTTATTTAAAATGGCAAACATTTTTGGGTGCCCAATCACATCCTAATCAAAGATTGGTGGCGACTCTTCGAACCCGTTTTTATCGTGAATGAATTCCCAATTTTCGAAACGAGAGGTTTTCTAAAATCACAATGTTTTTAAAAAATCAATTAAAGATATCAATAATTAAAAATGACGTGGTTTTCCAACTCCTAAAAATCGTTTCGACAGCTTGGCGACTCCGCTGGGGACCTTTTTTTTAGAGAGTCAGGCCTATAGTCGATTAATTGATTATCTTTGCAATTGAAAGTTATAAATTCGTTCTAATTTGATTTTGATCCCTATTTGATTTTAATGTTGTTGTTCGGAATTTGATAACCAATAAATAGTTGTATGATCTGTTTGCTAATGATTTCAGATTAATTATGTGTTTAAAGAGGATTGATCCTTTGAGTGTTTGTGATTATGTTGTTTTTTATTTTCGCTTTTCCTCACACTGCACAGTTGCATTTGCATAACATGAGCTAAAACCCCGCTCCGTCTATTAAGTAAGAGTGAAAGACTATCCCTCGTGTGGTTTTCACCTCCGCATGGGATAGGGATCGCTCCTGGAGCTCACGCCTTATGGTCCTCGTGATGGTATTCACCTCCGCATGGACATAAGGAGGTGTGTTCCCTCGAAATTGAACTCGATCTACTAAAGCCTGTGATGGGCCAGGATTGAGGGTTCGGCAGCCCAAAGGGGCACCGGCAAGGATAATTCGAGAACCTAATTTAGAACCTAACCCAGCATATAGAAACATAGAGCCTGAACTTAGGTCGAGCCTAACCCGAACCTTAAGAATCCCGTGAGGAGTGTACACAAGGAAAAGCTTTTGGGTCATTTATTTTCGTTTTTGTGAATAAATGCATGCGAACTAGAAATCATGCGGTTAGGTTTATTTTCTCGAACAAGCATGCGAATTAGATATCATGCGGTTAGGATTATTTGCAAATAACAAAAGCATGGAGGTAAATATCATGTCGGGTAGGATTACTAAGCATGATTGGGTAGTCAGCATGTGAGGGTTTTTATTTGTACGATACTCATTATTTGTTGTTATATTATGTGTACTAACCATTTTGGTTTTATGTATATTTTATTTTTAATTTATTGCATTTGGCATATTCATGTCATCCAAAGGTGTTAATTCTCAAGTGATTGACTAATAAGAAGGCTGGTCATAATGAGGCAAGAAATTCTTAACCATGTAATCAAAATCGAAGATCCGGAGGCGTTCAGATGATTTATAAAGAAGGATATTGAATGAAGAAATTTGAACCTGATTGAAGAACGATCCACAAAGAAAGACATCCTGAAGATGTTCCATAGATGCAGTAATGCCAAAGACGAAGACCCTTCACAAAGACGTGAAGAGCACTTTCCATTGAAAAGTGGAGATGTAGATCCCAAGATTCAATCCAAGGACAACCGATTCATCAAATGTGATAAAATACGCCGACCATTTGGAGATGCAATGCTAGATTCTATGAAGAGTACGGTTCAAGTAAATGAAGAATCACAATTGTATTTTGATTACATGGTGTAAAGAAATCTTGTTGTCTAAATAAGGTTGTTCTATAGTGGTCACTGTTGGGATTAACACCTTTTGCATTTGCATTTGGCATCCACATTTGCATTGCATTGCTTTAATTTAAGCATTTTTACATGCATCAATCATGAAAACATGAGAGTACTCGTGAAGGAACTGTGGCAGAGAAATATTGGGAAAGTCCAAGCATCACTATAATACAAGGGAGAGAGCCATGGAAGATAGGATTGCTCAAATTGAAAAATTCAACTGCAGTTGCAAGATGATCTAAGGAAAATGCAAGAGGACATGCTTAAGGCTCAAGAAGATATGCTGTCTAAGTGACAAGTTTGTCGGAAGGGAGAAACCCAGAACATGGAAAGGCCCTGAGCAAATAACTGGAGAACCACTTTATCCTCCAGGGTTTACCCAGTACAGTCTCAAAATGTCCAAGGAATGTCTGTCCCTACCAAAGTGCACATCAATCCCGTTGGCGTTGCTGTGAATCTTCAACCGGAACCTAGTTCGCACCCCGAAGAAAGTCCATGTCACCAAGTCCCAGACCTTGATGAAGAGGCCAAAAAGAATGAAAACAAACAATTTCGGGAACAATTCGAACAATTAGCAAGTGAAGTCCAGATTATGAAGGAAGGCATCAGTATGTATCGATTGGACGCTAAAGAGTTTAGTTTAGTTCCTGATTTGGTCCTGCCTCCAAAATTCAAAACTCCCGACTTCGAGAAATTCGACGGTACTAGATGCCCTTCTGCCCATATTACAATGTTCTGCAGAAAAATGACTGGTACATAGGGACGATCAGCTTTTGATCCACTGTTTCCAAGAAAGCTTGACAGGCTCAGCTTTACGATGGTATAACCAACTAAAAGAGCTGATTAGGTCATGGAAAAACCTTGCTAAATCCTTTCTCGACCAGTATGAACATGTGAAAGATGTCAGGCCTAACAGATTGGTGTTGCAAGGAATGAAGAAGAAGCACAGTGAAAGTTTCAGACAATATGCTCAGAGATGGAGGGAGGTAGCAGTGCAAGTGCACCCACCATTAGAAGAGGAGGAAACGAATATGCTTTTCATTAGTACTTTGAAGGCTCCTTTCTCTCTCACCTTATCGGTAATCCTTCCCGTTTTCTGATATAGTTACGACAGGAGAAATGATCGAAATGGCAATTAAAAGCGGGAAGCTCGAGGGAGGAGAGTCCAGCAACAAGCCACTAAAGGGAAAAGGAAAATGAAGTCACCAACGTGAGCCAGTACTATTCCAATAACATCACAATGTCCCAATCTCAGGGAACGGTAGCACCACCTCAAAATGACAATAGACAAGGCAAGGGACCCGAGGAGAGGGAGGCCTCAATTTGATCCAATTCCTATGACTTATAAGGAGTTATTTCGTGATTTATACGATCGACATCTAGTCTCTCCTTATCATGTGGTACCCATACAACCTCCTTATCCAAAATGGTACGATGCTAATGTAAGTGTGATTACCATGGTGGGAATCCCGGACATTCTATTGAAAATTGCACTACATTCAAAGGGTCGTCCAAGCTTTGAGAAGGAGGAATGTTATCAATTTTGGTGACAGTGGACAACCAAGTATATCCCAAAATCCATTGCCAAACCATGCAGGAACTGGAATTAACGCAATCGCTGAGGAAAATGATGAGTTTTGTATTGAACAATCGGACTGTGAGAAGCTGCCTGTAGTTTATAAATCTTTTGCAGAGGAGCGCGCTATAACTTTTTCCTATTGTCCATACCCTGGGGCAATAGGTGATCTGATGTAAAGGGTTAAGCTGTGTGTTTTTACTTGCTTTTAATAAAGGATGCATTCCATTGGTCCAAATGGCAAACATTCTCCCATGCATTTCATTTTTGGTTGTATAATGTATATATATTTCTTTCTACTTACTTATATGGGAAAAGATTCTCCCATATATGTATGTATATTCTCTTCCGGTATTCTTTCAGGAACTCAGATATCAATGATACAAATGCTAATGATTCTGACCCGAGATTGATTTCGAGATGCCCATATGTCAAGGGGAAGTCAAAGGTTGTGATGACAATGAGGGATGTGAACTACCTTTGGAATTACTAAAGATGGTGGAACGGGAAGATAAACAAATTCTGCCTCACGAAGAGCTTACAGAGATCTTGAATCTGGGTACAAATGAGGAAAGAAGTAAAGATTGGTACCACCCTGTCTGCTAGAAGGAAGACATAGCTTGATGGAGTTGCTTCAAGAATTTAAAGATGTATTT